ATATATATATAATATATATATATATATATATATATATACATTATTTTATTTATATATATATTCATTATTTTTTTTATTATTTTTATTATATAATTATTTTTTACATTTAGTTATTATTATAAACAAATTTTTAATTTTTAAATTTCCATTTAAGCATTTTATAATTTTTCTTCACTGAATTCTAGAGATATTTTTAATTTTTTTATATTTATTAATGTTTTTTATGTCACTTTCTTTTTGTTAAATGTTAATTTCGTAATTTTAAAATTATTTATTTTTTAATTTATTTCTTCTTAAAATTAAATTTTAGTATGGATTAAATAACTTATTATTTATCTTATATATTACTCTGTATATTGTAATTCTTTTTCATTAAATTCTTAAAACGGTATTACTTTTGAAAGATCTATTAAAGATGCCTTTATTTTATATTTATTTATAGTTATATTTTTAATTATTACATCATCTAATTTATTACATAAAAATAAAAATAAATTTTAAATTGGATTTTATTTATCAAATAAGATGTTTGAAAATGAATTTAGACTTTCTTTTGATATGTTTTATCTTGATATTTATTCTGAATACATTTATATTTATTATTATTTTTAAAAAAATTTATATTTTTTTATAACAGAAAAATTAATATTTTTTTTTTTTTTGAACAAATTATTATTTAATATAATTTTGTAAAAATAATATATTTTTAAATGAAATTATTTTTAATGAATAACAAATAATTATTTGTATTCTTTTATTGATTTTTTTTTTTTTTTTTTTAGTAAAAAGATTTTTTTATGATAATTTTTTTAATTTTTTTTTTTATTATTTAAAATTATTTTTTATTATAATAAAAAATATTTAAAAATTAATATAAAAATATAAAATTAAATAAAACTAAAATTATTAAAAATATTTTACTTTTTTTTTTATATATTTTTTTTTTTTTTTAAAAAAAAAATATTTTCTCAAAACTTTTTTTTTTCTTTTTTCTTTTTTCTTTTTTTAATTTTACTTTCTTAAAAAGAATTAAATAAATAAAATAAACTTTTAATGAAAAATAAATAAAATGTTTAAATATTTTTTTTATATATATATTATTTTCTTTTTAATTGAAAATATAAAAATAAAAAACAAACTTTTTTATAATTATAAAAATGAAAATATATATATAAAAAAAAAGAAAATAAACAACTAAATAAAAAATTTAAAATCTTCAAATTCATTTTTATCCCAAAGCAATTTTGAATTTTTTCTAGACATTTTCTTTTCTTTATTCAGAATTTAATTTTCTGGGATAATATTTATTATGCTCTCTTTTAGGTTTATCATTTTTCTTAGTAGTACTGACTCTGGTAGGGTTTTTTCTGATTTCTTAATGTACTTTAGTGAATAATTTAGCTACTGAGTCTACTTTTGCATTTTTTAAGGTTTCGTCCCATTTAGAGAATTATCTTTTGTAGTCATCAGCACTTGTATCTTTTAAATGTTTCATATATTTATCTACGTGTTATCCGAAAATTCTTGCTTTATGTTCTTCAGGTACATATTTAGATTATTCTCCTTCATCTTATCCTTAATGGTATCCGGGGAATCTAGTTTCTTAATGAGGTACATTAATACCGCCATCACATGCTCCTTTTAATACACCAAAGACTCTATTTCCTGTAGATGTTCTAACTAAACCACTGTCCAAAATAGCTTTGAAGGGTCTCTTTTCTTTCTTATTTTCATCAACATTGAAATATTCTCCGTTAACTTAAGCTTATCCTTCATACATAGTATCCAAACCGACTTATTTTAATAATCTTCTGGCTATTAAAAGACCAGTAGCATAAGCAGAAGCATATGAAGCCAAACCAGTTTTTAATCCAAATCTTCTTAATTCAAAAGAATCGGCAGAACACAAAACTCTATCACCTCTGATTGTAGCGTATATTATTTAAGCAATAACTCTTCTGTTAGTACATCTGGCTACTAATCTGTATTTAGGGGTATTGTATTTATCCTTATCTTGGATGATTAATCTTTTTCTGGCATAATAATCAGTTACTCCCTCTTTTTTTTTTATTTGGTTTTAGTTTATTTTAATTTTTTAGTGTTTTTTTTTTTACCTCTTCTTCTTCTATATTTAGTTTAGAATCTTTTGAAATAAGCGTTGTTTTTTAAAAGTTTTACGAAAGCCTTGTTTTATATTTATATATATTAATTATATTTTTAAATTTATTTTTTTTGGTTTTACCATTTTTATTCCTTTTTTTTTATTATTCTTTTTTATTTAGTTTTTTTAATTTTAATTTATATTATTTATTTGCTTTTTTTGTTATTTATTTTAGGTTTTTTTCTCCTTTTTTTTTATTTTTTTATTATTATATCTTATTTTATTTATACCTAGTATTGTTTACAAGATTTTTAAAAAAAATAGTTTATAATTTTTTTTTTTTATACTTTGTTTTTAAGCAAAAGAAAAAATAAAAATATTCATTTGATAAAATATTTATATAATGTATATATAAAAATTGAGGTTAAAGAACAAAAAGTAAAACAAATATATAAAATAAAAAAAAAAAAAAAAATATTTAAGAATAAATATTTATATAATGAAATATTAGATATTTCATGATAGTATAATAATTTAATTTTATATTAAATAAATATTAAAAAATAATATAAAACACCCGTCTAGCTCAGTCGGTAGAGCGCTAGCCTTTTAAGCTAGTGGTCAAGGGTTCGAGCCCATTGGTGGGTGTATTTTTTTTATATTTTTTGGAGACTAATAAATATTTAAAATAAATATATATAATAATAAAAGTATATATATATAAATATATATATAAATATAAATATATATATATATAAATATATATTAGATACATAAATATATATTTTATTTAATTTAAAAATATTTTTTTAAATCAAAAGTATTTTTAATTTTATAAATATTTTAATTTATATATTAATTTTTATAAATAATTTTATATTTTATTTAATATCTTTTCGATTCTATTTTTTTTTTTTATATATTTTTTTTTTTGGTTTTGTTTAAATTTATTTAATATATCTTGAATGAAATAGTGGTTTATAATAAATAAGCTACTTAAATATACTTTTACTTATTATTATAATAACTATTACTGAATCATTATGGCTTTTGCTCATTTTTATTTATTTTTAATCATAGCTTGTGAACAATATTCTATATAAATATAGAATTTTAATTACACCCATTATTATAATCATCTATTTTTACTAAAATTTATTTTTTATTCGAAAATTTATAAAGCATTATCATTAATATTATTACTTTCATTAGATGAAACTTTAATTTTATTTTAAAATAGATTAATATTAATTTTTAAAAATTTTAATTTAATTAATTAAGAAATATTTAAATAAGATGAAAAATAATGTTTTCGATATTTAAATACTTTAATAAATCTTAATAATGTTATTTTAAACATCTTATGAATTTTATAAATGATTTATTTAATTGTGTTTTTTTTACCTAAATTTACTCTTCCATAGTTTTTTGAAATAAATACCATAAAGGTATTTATAAATACTATATTTTTAAGTTCATTTATTATTCCCTTCTTTAGTAGTATTTTTTTTATGGTTTTTTTATTTATTCTACCCATTAGTTTGTTTATTGTCTTGTTTATTCAAAATTATTCATGTACCTTACTTATTAGAATATACAAAGGAAATTATATTCTTCTTTTTCTAAGAAGTCTTTACTGATTCAAGTCTTTAATATAAATTAAATAGTAGATTGAACATATTTATCTTTTTAATTATAGTTTTATATTATGTTTTTATATTTTAAGATAGTTAGGCTTGCTAGTACCTATGCTTAAGGCGTTATTTTTTGCTATGAAAGCAGTAATTGATAGATAATATTATATATATAAATGAGGAGAAAATACTAATTTTTAATTTTTGTTAAATATATGATATACTTAGAGTGTTAGTTTTTTAATATTTAGTAATGATTCGTATTTTGATTATTTTTTTATATATATAAATTTTATTTAATGTTTTTAAATTAATTGATTTGTTTTTTTATTTAAAATTTTAATTTAAAAATATATATAGATTTATAAATTAATAAAGTTTAATTTATTATTTCTAAAATATTAATACTAAAAAAATTATTTTAACTATTAATATTTAATATAATATAATATAATATTTAAAATTTTTAATAAAATAAAACTTAATAAAACTATATTATTATATAAATATATAATTATAACGCTTTTTAAAAATATAAACTTTTATATATAATATATTTAATAGTTTTAATTAATAATAAAATTATAAAAATAATAGGTTTTTTATTAAAATTATAATTTTATTTTTTACTGATATAATAAACTTTTAATATAAAAATAATTTTATTGGCATCTTTTTGTTTATATTTATATTTTTGATAAAGAATTTAATAAATAAAATAATATAATCTCTTTATAAAAGCATAAGTATATAAATAATCTTACAGTTTTATTTTTAGTTTAAATCTACATTTGCTTTTAGTTTTGATAGTTTTTATTATAAATTTAAATGACTTTTAATATTAAGTTTAAATTCTTAAACATATTATTTTATAATATTAAAATCAAATGAAAAGCATAAATAAAAAAAAAAACAATTTATTAAAATTATATTTTTTTTAAAAAAAATAAAAAATAAAAAAATATTAAAATATATTTTTAGAAAAAAAATATAAAAAAAAAGATTATATAAATTAAAAAAAAAAAAAATGGGAATTCAAAATAATGATAGCTTTTTAATTTCTTTAAGCAAGTTTTAAACTCAATAAATGACAAAACCACAAAGTTTAAGAATAACAATTAAAAGAGGTTTTTTTTAAAAAAAAATAAAATAAAAAATATATTTAAAAAATAAAATAATAAAGATAGAAATCCAAGATTGAAGAAATTATTAAAAAAATCCAAAAGAATTGAAATTTAAAAAGAAGTTTAACTTGAATCTATTTAAAATCCTGAAAAACAGTATCCAATAGTATTTAAAGCAAAATTTTAATGGAAAATGTGCATCAACATAAGTATAGGATGGTAAAGCAATTAGAGAAGCCGAGAAATTAATAAATGTTTTCAGATTACATTTTTTTTCTAATAATGATATTCTTAAGAAAAAGAAAATTGTAAAATAAAGGACTAAAATAAATCCGAAAAGTAATAATTCTAAAAGAAGAGAAGAAAGACATAAAAGAAATACTGAAAGAAGAAAAAAAAAAAGCGAAATTATTAAAGAAAATAAAAAAGCAAAACAAAGAGCATAAAATAATACTAAATTAAAATTAGAAAAATAAAAATAATGAAATAATAATTTTTTAAGTTTATTTTTTTAAAAATAGAATTTTATATCATTTTTATGTTTTCTATTTAAAATAATTTGCTTCTTTTTTTTATATATATAATATCTATTTGATTTTATAAATAATAAAACACGTATGTATATTATTGAAAATATTATATTTATATTATAATTATTATTTATATATATATATTATATATAAATTAAAAATAAATATATTTATATATTATAAAAAACATTATTTATTTATATTAATATTGTTTGGTTTATATTAATTTATAATTATTTTTTTATTAATTAATATTTTTTTTTTTATGTAATAAATTAATAATATAACATTTATTTATCTTATAAAATTTATTTTATTATAATGTAGAATAATTAGAGAAAAAGTTTATTTTATGATTAAAATTATAATTAATAAGTTAAAATAAGGAAATCATTCTTTGCATTATAATAGGACTCTTCAATTGTACAGAAATTATTTATTTAATTTTTATTTAGATTTTAAAATAAAAGGATAATACTAAAAAAATATAAACATCTAAAATGTAAATCTAATCTAAAAATTTTTAATAATAGTAATATTAATGTAATTTAATTTTTTATAACAATAATAACTAGCTTTTTTTTTTTTTTTTAATAAAAAATATGTTTTTGAATATTTTATATTAATAATTGTTTACTTTAATTAAAAAAAAAAAAAAGTATAAAACAATTAATTCTTGCATGATCTAATAAATATAAAAGATTAACTTTAAAAAAAATATAAAATACAAAAATGTAGTAAATAATAATATTATCTAATATAAAATGTTAGTAAAATCTTTAATAAATTAAAAAGTATTTTTTTTTTAAAAAAAAAAAAAGAAAAAAGTTAAAAATATGTTAATAAAATTAAATAAATATTTATATAAAAAAATAATATATTTACCTGAATTAAAATAATAGGATGCAATAGTCCAATAGAAAAAAATCGAAATAGTTTATATGAAATTCAAAAAAATATAAATAGAAGAAAACATTTTCGAAGAAAAAGTTGCCATTCTTTAATTTTCGGTTTAAAAAGTAAAAAAATGGAAAATATTGATAATTCTATAATAAACACATATATAAAATAATAGTAAAATGAATTTAAAGTAAAATCTCAAAATAGTAATTCAAATAATATAGTATTATTATTATATTTTATTAATTTTAAAAAAGAATTTATTAATTCCTTATAAACTGTTAATGATTTACAGAAAGACGAATAGCTTTTAAGGCCACGAAACTTTACCTATTAACTAAGTAATAAAATATTATTAAAAAGTTCTACAAAAGAATTTAATATGAATGATAAGCATTTATAAAAAAGAAGTTTGAAATTAAATTATTAGAAAATACACATTAAAATGAATTATCCTTAAAAAATAAGAATATAGGAATGTAGTGATATAAGTAATTCTAATCAAAATCATTTTTCAATCAAGAATTTTAAAATTCCTATTCAGAACTTAAACAAAAGTTAATTATTTAATCATTAATATAATAGTAATAATAAATTTTAAATATAAACATTAAAATCAAGAGAAAAATCTATTGAATCACAAAATAATGAGGATAATAAATATTGCTTAAAGAATTATTTTTATTAAAATAAATAGTATATTAATAAAAATAATTAAAGGATTGTTTTGGCTTAAAAATAAATAAAACTATAAATTAATTTATTTTTAATAAAAATTAACTTTAAAATAATTTATCTTAAGATTTTATTAGTTAGGTATAGACTTAAAAAGATCCTTTTTATTTAAAATAGTAGCAAAAGTATAGTTTTTACAATTCTACTAAAATAGAAACTAAAAAATAAAAATATTTCATAGATAAATATGTATAATAAACATATCTTATTAAATAAAATAAAAATCATAAAAACATTTGATATAATTTTTTATTTTTTATTTTT